TTGACCTTAGGAAAATTACAATAGGTCTAACAACCTATATAGACTTTACACTAAATACACTTACAATGCCTTTGGAGAAAGCTGAAATAGAGAGATTCAAAAACCTAAAAAATCAATTATGTCATTAAATATCATCCAGTATTATCATGTACGATCATCCTATATGAGTAGTTCAAAATAGACATTTTTATCAATATGAATTGTGTTGTCCGGTACGATCAGTTCAAGAGTATATACTAATCATCCAAGATAGTTTTGTGATCATCCAAGATGATTAGTTAAAAAATTTATGGTTTTTGTCTTGTATGATTGTAGGTCATCCAATGCATCTTCTCGATCATCCAGTATGATATTGCCTTAGAAGATCAGATTGAATAAATTAACCATAATTAGTCCCATAATAATTGGATCAATTAAGGCATGGTTTTCTTAGATCATACAGTACAATTTATATCATCTTTGATGATTAAAAAAAAAATTAAATCTTAAATTCTTGCCTAAATTATGATTGGTGGCTATTTTTTATGATTATAACTAATCATCCTACACGATCTAAATTATCTAGTACGATTAGCAAGATGAGTTGATTATATAGTGTGATATAAATCATACAATATATAGAGCTCAAAATTTAAACTTCTAGTTTTGACTCAATCTCACTCCCCCTGAGTATGTGTGTGCATGGTCACCAAGTTAGAATACACCCTTATCAAATTTGACTCAAGAAATAAAAAATACATCAATGAAAATTATTAAAATCATTACAGCATAACCAATTCTACCCAATCTTAAGCCTTGAATCTTCATTGGATGGTGCATGGTATTCCTAAATGTTAGTATACACATAAAATATATACATTACAAATACTAGGGAACATAAGGATATGAGCCACAGTGTTTGTTAACAGAAAAAATATAAACTCATGAGCTCGAGTTGCAACAAGTTTGACCCCTAATTTCAAATTATACTTGGGATCTTTCCAATGAGATTTAGGATTTGTGTTTTAGTGTGTTAATTGTATATAGTCTAGGGAGTTTAGAGCCACTAATTTCACCCCCATCCAAGCCTAGGGTAGCAACTTAAGGATTTTCTAAGGTGACTTAGAGGTTGCCTTAGGAGGTTTGGTTAGCCACCTTTGGGTGCTCAATTGAGCCCAAATTCATAGGTATTGGACCTTGAGTACAAATGATCTCATTGTCTAAAGTTCAATAGATTTAGGTTCCCATTTGGTCCATCAACTAGAAACCACAAATTCCACCATTAGATTTGAACTAAAACATTAATTAATTCATTACAAATTCATATTAAATCCAAAAAACTCATATAGACACTCTAACTGACCTTAATTAGAGTCTCAACCCATGCAAAATAAAAACCCCATCAGATAACCTTTAATTTAAACATAATTTAAATTTTAGGGAAAATGAATAATCAATTCATTTAATTAATTAAAAATATTTAAAAATTCCAAAAAAAAATCCTAAATGATTTTAAACATCCCATTAGGTCATTCATTACCTTTTGGGATGATTCCAAGAGGTTTGGGATTGATTTGGATCAAAATCTAAAAATCTCCATTATTAAGGCAATTTTATAAAATTCTAAAAATACATGAACTTTAGAAAATAACCAATAATTAAAAAAAAATCCAATTTAATCAAACTCAGATCCATTCAAATCTAATTAAAATTTAATATTTTTTTAAATATCAAACCTCCAAATTTTAGTCAAAGTCAAAAAGTTAACTTTCCGATCAACCATAGTTCAAAACTAGGTTCAAACATTGACAAATCATAAATTTTTATAGAATTCTTCAAATCCAAATAAGAAATAGTCTAATTACTCATCCTGACATCTAATAAATGTTAAAAGTATTAAACATACAAAATTAACTTTAAGTTAAGAAGTTAACTTTGAACCCCCTTAATTGAAGTATGTAGATAACTCCAAAAACATTTAAAATTTAGTAATTCACTTAAAAATCTAAAAACCTAAATCTAATCATTCAAATCAATCAACCAATCCCTCAAAACATAACAAGCATTCCAGATATGAAGTTTTTAGGATGGACTACCTCGGGCTTCAGGGATAAGTGTCCTAAGGAGGCTTCATATGCTAGCCTAATGTTACAACACCATAAACATTTATCAAGTTTTTAGGATGGACTAACTCAAGCTATAAGGCTAAGTGTCCTAAGGAGGCCTAGTCCTCAAGCTTTATGTTACAACATCATGAACTAGTTGGTGGCAAATTAAATTAATCTTTAACATGAACAACTAAAAAATTAAATTAAAATATTACAACCCTTAATTTTCAACCAATTAAACTATTAAACCATTAAATTTTAACTAAAATAAGCCTTAACACATCAATATTTAAACATTATCCAAATTTCCTCTTTCAACATTTAACAAAACGAACACTAGACAACATGAACAAATTGCCTAGCATAAGATCTTCCCCACCCACTTGGCCTTCAGCACACACTTTAGTTGTCTTGCTAGAAAAACCAACTCTAGTCTAGACTAGGATGGTGTATACCTTACCAATTGTATGATGAGTGTTTTGAGTTTTTCTTGCATGTTGTGATTGAAAATTGATTGAGGTGTATGTTTACTTTATTATAATCTATGAATTGGCATGATTAGTGATAGTTTACCCTTCGTTTGGACAATTCTAGTTCCTCAACAAAATTTTTGTAGGTGGCCACGCTTGTGCTGGACAATAAAAATGGGGCTAAATTAAAAATGATTATAACTGTTACTGGCATTTCAACTACATAACCCTTAAATGAATAAGACCGTGGCCAAGTATGTTTATTTATTTAATTCAATATATATATATATATATGTGTGTGTGTGTGCTGTGTGTGTGTGTGTGTGTGTGTGTGTGTGTGTGTGGATTTATTATTGATTATTAAAATGCTTAGGATAACCCTGTATTGGAGAGTTAATTATTTTATCTTTGTATAATTTATTAATTTATTTAAAGTTAATAAAGCTGTGAAATTTGGGTCTTTGGAGTTGGGATATAGGTATCCAAGAGGAAAGAATACCACTCAAGGGGATAGTCCTTCTCCATTTTGGGAACCCAATTTTAGATCATTTTTAATACCTAAAGTAAAAAGAATAATACCCCCTCGGGGGAAGAGTTTTCTTTTTAATTTAACTTTAGCATATGATAATCCAAGGGAGCACAAGATGAGGAAGGAGGGAGTTAAAGGCAGAGAGTATCCACTTCAAAGTCACTTAATATACTCCTAGTTTAGAATTTAGTTTGCTGGTTAGTGTAGCGTCTATCTTTTACTTTCTAATAATTTCCAGTTGTGATAATCATGCTTTTGGGCCTATGGCATTATTTAATTGATATAATTTTACTAATGTATTTGATTTTATATTTGAGTATGATAGGATTATCTACTTTTTCTAATTTTTTTATTGATTTAATTTAGGTCATTTTTTTTTAGCCCTGGACTTGATTCAGAAGGCTTCGTTGGGGGCACGTATAAACTTTCTTCTACTTTAAAATTAAAAAAAAAAAATGAAAAACTTTTTTTTTTTTTTTTTTTTAATTTAGGCCAACATAGAAACTCTAATGATCTAAGAAGTAAGAATGAGACTCTTGGGAGTCTTTTTTTTTAAAGAATGCTAAAAATGCATAGAAAGGGAAAACAAAGCCTAATTACAAACTACTAAATGTGAGGAATTTTTACACACTCTTCCTTTACCATGTTACAAAAGGAAGACGGTAATCTTTCTCACATAACAAATCCCAAATAAAAGAAGAAGAAAAAGCATGATTAGCACAAAAATCAGCTAATCTATTACAACTACGTTTCACCCAATGAAAAATCACATTATTTACCTCATTAAGAAAGAAAGAATCTTCAATCACCAATCTTCTATCCATATTCTTCGGTATACTGTGCACGTTATGAAGAACATCAATAACATTCTTATTGTCACCTTCTACTACAATGCCTTCAACTCCATGAAATCTGCCCTATAAAACTTCCTTCAAATCTGTAATGGCTGCCATCTCCAATTGGGCTATGTCCCAATGCATCTTCTTTCTCCCAAACGCAAGTAAGAACCTTCCTTTGCAATCCCTTACAATTCCTCCAATACCAGCCTTATAATTTCCCTTTAGAGATGCATCGATGTTGATCTTGATCCAACAAGGGGGAGGACGTTGCCATTTATCAAAAACAGCCCAAAGGACTAATTAACAACCCAGTTACCCGATTGAATAATATGAGAACGATCCTGGCTAATAAAACTGAGAATGGATATAACAATAAACACATTGCTTTCTTCAGGATTTTCATGCTTAACATTGTTCCTATGGTTCCAAACAAACCAAATAACAGTAAAATACATTTTTATCAAGATCAAATTACCATTTTTGTGCGGCTTGAGATCCGCCAAACATTCACACCATCCACTATAAACAGGAATTTGAAATCCCCACCCTCTCAGCACATCCAGCACCTTTCGCAATTTGCAACAGTAGGTAGTAATATGATTGCAATCTTCCACTACATCACAGCCTAATGGAAATAGTGAATCATCAGCAAGTTTCCTTTTACTGAGGAATTCAGCGTTAGGCAAAGCATCTGATAAGAGCCGCCATAAGAACATCTCAAGCCTAGCATTCAGCTTCAATTTATATACCAATTTGAATGGAACAACCCCACCCAGGTTCTTATACCTTTCTTCCATAATTAGAACCGAGGTAGACTTCCTAGACATATTAAACTTCAGCTCCATACTATCTCCAGACAGACAGGGACAAATCTGAACCTTACATATGAGATCTACAAGATCAGTCCCAAAGAACTGCCTGAGTTTCATCCGATCCCAGCTGCCACCCGTGATGAAACAATCCAGGGTAACATCTTCTCCTCAAATATAGCAACAAAAGTAGGCCATCTGATTAGAGCTTTGTCCAGAATCCATATGTCCTTCAGCACACTAATTTTAGTTCCATTAGCCACTTTCTATCTAACAAGTTCCCTGGTAGCATTCCACCTTGAAAACAGGATCTTCCATGTGCTGGAACTCCTTCCATACAGCCGATAATTCCACCAACTTTCCCCATACTTAGCATTGAGTTGTCTGCTTAACAAAGAATCAGGATTATGAATCAACTTCCAAGAAAATTTAGCTCTCATAGCATCCCTTCTTTCCACAGCTGATTGAACACCCCAACCTCCATACTCTTTCGGCTTACAAACATGATCCCAAGCCAAGTAATGAAGACCTCTCTTTCCATCACATTTATTCCATATGAAATCTCTACAAATCTTATAAAACTCCAATAAAGTACTCATTGGAATAAGAGAATGAGTCATGGTAAAAATCGGAAGGGAAAGAAAAACATATTTAACCAAAACCATCCTACCAGCAAAGGAGACAAACCTGTTTCCCCAAGCATTGATTTTTTTACAGGATTTATCCAATAAACACTGAAAACCAGCCTTCCTTAAATGTCTCAAAGCCAACTTAATGCCCAAATACTCAAACTCATCAACAAGCTTAATACCCATGAATCTGGAAATCTGACTTCTTATCCTCCTGTCCACCAAATTACCACACACCAAAGAAGATTTATGGTAATTAATATTTTGCCCAGTCCACTTACAACAATCTTCCAATATCTTTCTCACTTTCTTCATAATGTTCCCTTTAGCTTCGAAAATCAACAAAATATCATCTGCAAACAACAGATGGGAAATCTTCTGAGCATTAGTAGACATTCTAATACCCACCTCATTGCCCCTACTACAAAATGCGTTGGAAAGAAGTTGTGAGCAAAGAATAAACTGAAAGGGTGACAAAGGACACCCTTGGAGAAAGCTACTCTTCCCTTCAATCCACCCAGAATTAGATCCATTAATCACAATAGAAAATCTTGGATTAATAATACAATCCATTACCTAATGAACAAACCTGGAAGGGAAACCCAATTCAATCAACATTCTCTCCAAAGTAGCCCAACACATGCTATCATATGCTTGTTCCATGTCCACCTTGATTGCCAAGAATCCATTGCTTGCTTTAGAAAACCTTAGCTTATTGAAAACTTCCTGAGCTAGAAGAAGATGATTAGAGATAGACCTACCCTTCACAAAAGCCGCTTGTTCTTCAGAGCTGGGCATAATCTCCACCTTTCTGTTGAGCAAGATTTTAGAAACAATTTTATAAATCAAAATTCATAAACTGATAGGAAGGTATGCTGAGGGAATATTAGGATTAGAAGATTTAGGAATCAGCACAACTAATGTGTCTTTCCAATTCCTATTCATCGAACCAGTTCTGAAAAACTGTTGTACAGCCCGCACTACATCCACTCTAATGATCTTCCAAAAAGCTTTGAAAAAAGAATAGGAAATCCCATCAAAGCCCGGAGCTCTGTTATTTCCCAAATTCAAAATAACTTCACTGATTTCAGCTTCATTCAATTCTCTGTTCTGCATTTCCTTATCACTGTTCAGCAAGGAAGTCCACGGTTTTGGCCATCCAGTAAAGCTGCAGGACCTAGATTCCCATTTCACCTGAAAAAATCTCATGAATTCCTCCTCAATCGATCCTGGATCATCTGACAACTCCCCATTAGCATCCTTTACTTGAGAAATCCAATTGTTATTCCTCCTAGCATTGGTAAAAGAATGGAAAATTTTGGTATTTGCATCACCATCTTTAACCCATTTAGCTTTAGCTCTTTGCCTCCACCAAGTATTGAGATTATTCAGCACAACATTTAATTCTTTAACTTTAGCTTTAAGTAACCACTGTTTAGCCTATTCCAACCATCCAAGCTTTGATTCTTCATCTTGTAAAACCAGAATTTCAGGTTTCAATTTGTCTTTCTCCAAAGAGAAGTTCTTCAATCTAGCCTTGCTCCAATAAAATAAGTCTTTCAATGTCTTCTTACATTTTTTATTAAGAACCTCCATGCCATCCCCCAAAAAAGGTCTCTTCCACCTACTAGAGACAATATACTCAGCAGTCTTAAAAGAAAGCCAAGTATCTTCAAACTTTATGACACTTCTACCTTTACAAGACATCTCAAACATCTTAAGAACAATTGGACAATGGTCCGATGCAACTCTAGCAAGATGTTTAACCACTGTGATTTGAATTTTGTTTAAGGCCAAGGTATTAAGAATACACCTATCAAGCCTTTCCAAAATCCTCCCTCCACCACTCTTATTATTGCACCAAGTATACCTTGGTCCCACAAAACCAACTTCATGATAATCATTCTCATTCATGAATTTCATCATGTCCAAGGAGCCTTGATTAGTTTTAAATCTCCTACCACCCTTCTTATCCTCTTGTGACAAAATACAATTAAAATCCCCTCCAACAATAGAAGGAATATCTCTATTGGAAGACTCCTGAACAACCTCCCAAAGATGCCTCCTCTTCACTGTCTCTTTGCTAGCATAAACAGTAGAAACCATCCAAACACCTTTATTGAAAACATTAAGATCACCAATAACACATTGATCTGAAGTTTTCAAAACAGAAAAGGATGCCAAATCTGACTTCCACAGTACCATAATACCACCAGAATGGCCTTCAGAAGGAAGAATGAAATAATCCCAACCAAGCTCCATCATTATTACAAACAAATCCTTCTCCATAGAAGAAATTGTAGTTTCAAGCAACCCTACAAAGAAAATTTTATAGTCTTTAACAATCTCCTTTAAGTACATGAAAGCCTCCCTCTTTTTGGCTCCCCTACAATTCCAAAAAATAATGGATTCCATTAAATTTGTTTGGGGGAAGAGCCCCCACCTTTCTTCTTTGAACCACCATCCACACATCTACCTCCTGAGCTAATTTTCATTGGTCCCAAAGCTCTAAGCTCTTTAGCAAGCTTACGCTTCACCAAATCTCCACTGGAACCAGCTTCTTTTTCTAACCTTCCAACAAACAAAATTCCCTCACATCCCTTATCACCTTCAGCAGTAATAGGTCTTCCAGATACAGTATTAACCCCTGCACTACCACTTCCACTAGATACTTTTTTAACACAAGCATCCTCCATCCCATCCTCTTCCACCCCATCCAACACAACAAATTTATTTAAACAAACAGGAACAACAGGGTTAATAGCAGCAGGAAACATACCAATGATCTTAGATGGCTCCTCGGACGATCCAGCAATCTCTTCAGCAGAATTAATCACCAATTTTGAATCCCTTCCACTAGAATTATTTCCCACCTCATCAAGAATTTCTCCTTCCTCCAAATGAGTATCAGCAACAAAGTCTTCCACCTTGTCACTATTTCCATTATCTGGAGTAATTTTCCCAATCAAATCATCATGTGCTCCATCCCTTTTCACCCATTGTTTCTTCACAGTAAATGGTTTTTCCTATTGGGTAACCGATTTCCTATTTACTTTCTTCTTAACCACGTGATCTGACTTTTCTTCCTAAATCTCTCCCATCTCCTTATCTCCCCTGGATATTTCCATGTTCAAATCAACTTCAGAATTCCCATATGCCTTCAATCTGCAATCATGTTTGAGGTGACCCACCATACCACATCCATAGCAAAGAGTAGAAATCTTTTCATATTCAAATCTTTGATAGAATTTTCCAGCGATAATTTCAACCCAAGTTCCTGGAGGAAGATACTGGTCCATTCTGGCCCTAACACAGATTCTGGAAAACTCTCTCTTCCCCCATTGAAACATATTTCCATCCATCATCAAAGGTTTAACAATGGAAGAAGCTATACGTTCCACATTCACTTCATCCCAGCACTTTAAGGGCAGATATGGCATTCTAATCCATATAGGGGATGTTAATCCTTTCAAGGAAAGAGTTCAAAACTGTAAAGACCACTTCTCCATCCCCACAATAGAGCCATTAACAAACCACGGCCCTCCCGATAAAACACCTTCCATCATCTCAGTTAACTCAAAGGAGTATAAAAACCATCCCCTCCCCAACGTAGTAAAATAGAATTTCCCAAATAACTTCCACTGCCTCCTGATTTCCCACGCTACTACATGAGAAGGAATCTCCTTGCTAAATACTTTGATAACCAACGAATTCCTAAGCTTCTAAGAATTCGCAACCTCATTATCTTCAACCAATTTCACAGTCTTACCATCCTTAGCAAATACCTGATCCTCTTCCTTGAAATTCAACCTGATATAAGGCTTCCTTTTCCACGGATTCCCCACTAACTCAGCCAACTCCTTTACAGGAAATTTATCATCTATCTTGTTCACCAACTTTGAACCTCCAGAATCCAGACTCGGTAAGAATTGAACATTCCTATTAACAGAAGTATCAACATTCGCATTTATCCCATGGCCTAAACCAGAGATTGCATTTGAATTGTCGAACATGTTAACATAAATATTCATTTCTGATGAAGTCACCCCCAAATTCATAGAGTTGCCTTCAGGAATTTTATTTAAAAACAAAGGTGAGACATTAGCTTCATTACCAACAATTTCCTTCCCTTTACCTTCTACAAACACAACTTTCTTGGACAAATCCATACCTCCATCCTTAATAATCAATTACCGTGCGGGACGATCACCAGCATCTTCCCCAGACATTATACGTCTAACACCACCCAGATCTTGATCACAAGAATCCCCTTTAACAAACTTACCATCAATCAACCTCGAAGCCGAACGGTGACCATCCAACGAGTTCAGCATGACAGAACCTTTGCCAGGGTAAAATCCAGTACCTCCCCCTACATCAGGTGGCTGGCGGCCATCCATTACCACCGGAAATCCAATTCCGTGAAGGACGGAATCAAAACCGTGAAAGAAAAAAATTCAAAAAATCGCCTTCTCTCTCTAGAAAACCAACTCAATCAGCAGTGGATAAAACCGAACTCTTGGGAGTCAGCATAAGCATATTTTATCTTCTCCTTCTTACTAGGCACCTCTCCACCTATGAGTTCTGACATAACACCTAGCCTTTAATTATGCAAATCTATCAATGGGTTGTTGAGCAATATATAGGGAAAAATAATTTTTAAGCCTTTTCTGAAAATTGCTACATTTCATTTATGCATTCAATCGAGTCCACCAGCATGTATTGCATTAAAAATAAATTTAAAATTGAGTCTAAATTTTAATTGCATTTGAGTTATATTTTTCCACCACACATAAGTTAAGGGACCAAATATGTTCCTCTCTAGACATCAATCCAAATTCTCAAAAATCCTTATTTAACGTCCCTACAACTCTTTCATAAAGATGACCAGACAAATGAATTTTGATTGACAAGGTAGTTAGCTGACTCTCCATTCTAGGTTGGGTAAGCCCAAATTTTGCTCTACATAAGTTAGGTTCGGGCCACCATCATTCGATACCCAAAATAGATTTAGAGTTTGGTATAGATTTTAAATTATAAGACCCCAACCTCCTTGAATATAATCACAAATTTCTAAAAAATTATTCAACTCAAATTAAAAAAAAGAATTCTCTCAATAAAAAATTTAAAGCACAACACTTAGATTTGGTTGGGACACTTCTAATTTATGTTAGAATCTCAAGATGTCTCATACCTCTCTTTCATTAACTCCAAAAATAAGTGCTCCAATTGTATCCAATCTCAATTGAGATTCCAAATTCAACTTCTTTGATTCAAATCCTTAAAATCTCTAAATAGAATTTCCACCATTTTTTTTTATCAAAGTATTCATAGGGAATTTAACCTCCCTATAAAGTAATTAACTATGAGGGCTTATGCTCATAGGAGATTTAGGACCCACATAAATTTTTCAAAACTCAAATAATATTCTTTGGGAATATCAAAAAATCAATGATGATCATTATCATTATGTTCGAATAATCATTAATGAATGATATTTTGTTCCTTCAGGTAGATATATTATTTGTTGAAAAAATATTGAATATGGAATTAATGATAATTAATCTAGATTATTGTAGTTAGATATTCGATTGAACTTCACTTTGACCCTTTAGGGACATATGTTATTCTTGCATAAATTTTTCTATGATATTTGAGATTGAATTTACAATTCTAAATCTAAACCTCGTTTTGAGATATATTACCTCTCAAGGTAGTACATCTCTCTGATGTGTTATTTTATTTTAGAATAAAATTTAATGCCCAAAATTAATTCTTTTAAAGAAGATTAACCTTGTCATAACCTACTTTCTTTAACCCCTTTTCAACACTAAGTAAACGAAAATGAACAAAGCTCAAAAGAAAATTAAAATCAAAAGGAAAATAGATAAAAGTTAAAGAAAATAATAATCAAATAGTAAAGATGACATCAAGGTTGTGATTATTAGACCTCCAAATAGTTTCCCTCAAAGAGGTGGGAGGATGGCCTAAAGTGCACATGGTTGAGGCCCCGCTTCATTTAAAAAAAGAATAACCTGATGTACAAAGAGTTGGAATCATGTTTCAATGAGGAACCGAAAGTATAGGGAGCAAAAATTTCTTTTGATTATTAAAATATTGATCCTCCTCCAAAATTTGATCTCACTTTAGAATATGATATTAACTTGGAGGGTGATGCTCCAAAATTTTAAAGTTATGAGCCTGAATTAACTATGTATATAAAGCAAAGTAGGAGAATTGAAGCCTTAACCTTAACCCCACTATTTTCTTGTAAGGTTGTAGGGTTAGTAATTAAGGACTCTCTTAATTTAGATGCTAAACTAAGGAAGGAATAGAAGCCTTTTCCTAGGTCCTCCACTTGAGGGAAGGAAGATGAAGTAATACTTAATGAGTTCAATTTAAATAAATTAATGGAATTACCACTTCACTACTTTCTTGTATGTGTAAGAAATTTCATCTCTAAAGGTCTCATGTTGGGTCAATGTGTTGCAAATCTGATTTTAGGAATTTTAATTTTGATGATAGCAAATATTTTTGATACTTCTGCTTCTCTACGACTGTCTTGCCTACTAATATTTTAGCTCCACAAGATCGAGTGCAACTCAAGCCAGCTCAAGATTGGATAGACTAGGTCTAAATCAGTTTGTAATCTTTTACTTTTCCTTGAGTCAATTATAAACAATGTGATCCTTGATGCTAAGTTACCTTGCACACACATACTTGGAGAAAAACTTTTGACTATTTTTAGAGTTTACTATTTTTGGTCACATCGTCTGAGATAATCCATAAATCAGCCTGGACGATCAGTTAAAAATAGAAATCATAATTAAGGAATCCCGGTTAAGGCCGCCGTCTTTATGCACATCATCCTAGATGATATTCATATCGGCCGAGACGATAGGCTCAAATAAAAAAGAATCAATTGCCAGATCTATTTAGGTATCTTTAATTTTTAATCATCATCCATGATATCATCCTGGATGATGTCCTTCAATTATTCCTAAAATTATTCTAGTAATTACAAAAAGTAATTAAGATTTGATTGCTCAATCATATCATCATAGATGATCTCAAAATCAACCGGGATGATCAGTTCAAAAACTTTAGTTGTTTCTGGATGATAAAATATTGGTCGGGTTCCATTCAGGGTGATACTCTAGATGATATGTGCTGAATTGAACTAATCGTCCGGGATGATCATGAGATCAGCCAGGACGATCAAGTTATTTTTACATCATCCAGACACCCATTCAGGGTGATATTCTGGATGATATTCTTTGGTTTGTATTAATCATGCAAGATGATATATTATTAGCCTAGATGATATGAACAAAAAACCTTCTGATCATCCCAAACCATCCATGATGATTGAGCAAAATTTGTGCTGATCATCCAGGAGGATATTTATATAGTCATGGATGATAAAGTCAGTTTGTTGCAATAAAGAGCTATTACAAAGATCTTCTGTATAAGACCTCTTATTCTTCCCAAGAGAGTACCTTTTGCTACTATCTTGACCCGAGAGAGCCTAGAGAAGAGGGAGAGAAAGGGAGAGAGAGAGACAGAGAGGATCTTATGAGGAGGATTTTGTGAGGGGTTTCACAAAGGTTGCTCCAAGCAAGGATCCAAGTCATCTTCTCTAATTGTCATCCCTTATTCTTTGAGATTCGAGAGAGTTCCACTTTAGCAATCGATCAAGGTCCTCTGCTTGCTTTAGGAGTAAGCAAAAGGAGTTGGGCTCTCTGTCTCACCAGTTTTAGTAGAAAGGAGGTTTTATAAAGGGTTCTCCACCTTGCTGTGGGATTAAAAGGAGAGTCACTAAGTTTAGTGCAATACTCGGAGGGCACTTCTAGGGAGTGGACGTAGGTCGAGTTGACCGAAACACTATAAATTTTTGTGTTTTTTACTACTGCTTTTTTTCATTTAATTTCCACACTTTAAATTTCTCTGTGGTGAATTTTGGTTTGGTTTGAGTTTGTGTTTTTTAGTGAAAGATTTTTAAAATACCAATTCACCCGCCCTCTTGGTTCGCTTGGGCTAGTTCATAAGGGCTTAACATCCTAATGAAATTTCACAATGGATAAAGGGGCAAGCAAGATACCTTAAGAGCCTCTAGAATACAAAAAATAAAAGTAATTTGACTAGTGGTATTGACTTTAGTACTGTCAGTTTCTTTGATGATGATGAGTTTTGTTTGATGATAACAAATTATCTTGAATATGAGAATGTCCTTATGGTAATCGTTGATCTATTTAATGAGCATTGTTTAGAGATATTAGACGATCTTGATGAACTATAGATTCGGAATGCACCCCTAAATTTGAAGAAGATATTTAATCGACTATCAAAAATTAAAAGAGATTAAGCTTTGAATAGAGGATGGCCCTCACCCCACTTTTATAAGCTCTTTGTTGAGTGAGGATGAGTCTAAGGATCTTAT